CCAGGATGCTGCTGCTTACTGGAGCCATGCCGCCCAGCTGTCACGCCTCCTACCATCCGCCCTTGGGCGTAGCCATGAGCGTCTTCCCCGTAATGCCCTCCCGGTGGGATGAACTTCTGAAAGTGATCCTATGGCAGGAGAAAAGAGCGTATGTATCCTTGTTACAGGACATGGCCCATTCATATTTGCAGGGTTGGGTCCCAGAACATGAACTCCCAAGTTTCTGTCATCTGAGTTTCTCCATCTAACAGCCAATCTTCTAGTCCAATAGGAAAGACCATATGTGATATATAACTCAGGTGACTTGTATTCTATAGCTGTGTGGGCTGTAATACACAAGAGACACCATTTTATGTCTGATAGGAGTCAAATTTTGATGTCACTTATGACTGATACGTAAAATATCTTGTGACCTTATGCTATCAGTTTCTATTCCACAAAAGTATTTATTAAAATTTCTGTGTGCAAAGACAGGACATTGTGCTGGCACCACAGGGTCTATAAACCCTGCACGGACTGTTTGCTCTTTCACTATGTACTGCAGGGATTGTGCCTTCTAGCCTGGACCGGGGAGAGCGGATGGCCAGCAAAATAAGACCAACCTAGTTTTACTGATGGGTACAACTTTCTTTCTTGCCTTGGTGCTGGTTAAATTTGGTTCATTAATGCGCATACTGCTACAAACAAAATTCTTCCTTTTTGTCATTTTTCCCTTGTGGTCTCCAGAAAGTAGTTTTTGTATCTCAGTTACAAAACCAGTGGCAGAACTTTGTGTATGTTATTCTCTCTATCCAGTATAGGAGCAGTTGTGGAACAGCAGCAAGGGCAATGGAAGCACACACACCTCATAGTCATTTTATATGATGAGAGTGAGAAGAGAGAGATCTGTGTATTGTCCCCAGCAGTGGTTAGTATGAAACAGAGGAGGAAGGGAAAGGAAATTTAGCTTCTGCCAGAGCAGGTAAAGGTCCAAACAGAGATACATTGGCGAACCTGTGGGAAAGTAAGCTGGGCAAGAAATAGGAAGTGTTTTCATGTCAAAGTTAAGATAACCCAACAAAGTCAGCTTGATTATAGTGTGGGAGCTAAGTGTTACAAGGCCCCTGTGACAATAAAAAAGCCAGGGAGATGTCTACCTGTGTGCCTGTTTTCCATATATGTGAAGGTATGAATGGGGAGAAGTATTTACATGTTGAGAAAGACTGAAGAGATAGCAGCCTGGAAAAACAGAAAATACTTTCTGGAGACCACAAGGGAAAAATGACAAAAAGGAAGAATTTTGTTTGTAGCAGTATGCGCATTAATGAACCAAATTTAACCAGCACCAAGGCAAGAAAGAAAGTTGTACCCATCAGTAAAACTAGGTTGGTCTTATTTTGGTGGCCATCCGCTCTCCCCGGTCCAGGCTAGAAGGCACAATCCCTGCAGTACATAGTGAAAGAGCAAACAGTCCATGCAGGGTTTATAGACCCTGTGGTGCCAGCACAATGTCCTGTCTTTGCACACAGAAATTTTAATAAATACTTTTGTGGAATAGAAACTGATAGCATATGGTCACAAGATATTTTACGTATCAGTCAGAAGTGATATCAAAATTTGACTCCTATCAGACATAAAATGGTGTCTCTTGTGTATTACAGCCCACCCAGCTATAGAATACAAGTCACCTGCGTTATATATCACATATGGTCTTTCCTATTGGACTAGAAGATTGGCTGTTAGATGCACAAAGATGCAACAAATACAAATCAATGCAATGGAATGAACCTGTGGTTCCTAATGCTGCAATTCTACTTGCATAAATTAATCTAAGGCAGTCAGTGGGAAACCAGAGTGCCAGCTTCAGAGCTGGCTCTCAAAGGGTTAAGGCTTTCTCAGGGCTCTTACACCTAGCACAGTTTAGCAAAAAGAAGCTTTCCAGGCTGTAAACAGGCTTCCAAGGCCAGCTGTTCAACCAGCTAAAAATAGATGAGAAGTGAAAACCCACAAGGCTCAAGGCAGAATTAGCTAACCCTCCGCTCCCTGTGTCTCCCGCAACAGTGTCCAGGGTTTCACAGCAGGTCACCAGGCTGCAACCCAGGCAGGCAGCCAGCTGCAGGCTGAAGTGGCAGAGCTGGTGCCCCCAGGGCCTTTAGGGACTGTCTGTCCTTCTCCTAGCTGTAGGGAATTCCCTTTTTAGGAACAGAGGAGAAAATGTTCCCCTGAATGTCAGGAAGCACTGACAGCAGAGAGGATTGTGAGCATTAAGCTGTGCACAGGAGCTAGCAGGGCAATCTGCTCAATTATGCGTGGGAGCTGTGTAGCTGTAAAAAGGCAAACTGAAAAAAGGGTATTTTGAGGGCTAGAGGTCAGAATGAGGTTATTCTCAAAATGTTAATATAAATGCAAGGTTAATGCTTCCGATTTGCTCAGTACTCTCAAAACAGGATTTGCATCTGTTTTCCTTCAAGTTTCACCCATGTTTTGTGCCTTTCCTGAGAATTAAATGCTTATTTCTCTTTTCCTCTGGTTACTTACACGTGCCCTCCTGAAAAAAAAAGTCACAAAACATCAGCATAACATGAGCTGCAGTAAGATGGGCTGTTTTGATTCTGTTCACAGCAGTATTTGATATGACCAGGGAGGGGCATCAGTGTCATCTGGTGTTATTTTAAATTGCAGTATTGTCACTGATAGGAACGAAGTTTCTCTGAAATAGAAGGTCTGCATAAGGAGAGCCACACCTAAATCTTATTTAGCTGCAAATTAAATTAGTTTGATTGGCTTAGGCTAGTTCATGATTCTTCATGGACCTGCTGGGAAAACTGATCTGCTGAAAGCAGGCATCTCCATTCAGATAGGAAAGACACATTTTCCATGCAATACCCCAGTCTACTCACCTGTTAGGACAAAAATATAATTTTCTTTAGTTTTGGCCACCACAATAGTTTGTCTTAGCTCAAATTAACAGGAGGCAAAGGGAAATTAATCTTTTTGAAAGATTTTCTGAGAGAGCGGAGCTCAGGAATGGCAGCCTCAAGCAGTAGTCTCAACATTGTCAAAGCTGGGTGGGTGCAACTTTGTCTCTGGTACGTAGACCACACCTCTGGTCAGAGTTTTGAAGTGAAATACAGCTTAGAGTTGAGGAGAATACAAGTCTTGGGTCACTGCTTGTGGAGCTTTTCCATATATGCATATTCACATCATAAAACCAGCCTCTCAGTTAGGGTTGATTGACCCTGTTGGAAGTTCCAGGAGAGAAGCCCGGGAATGTCAGTTGAGAATGCTGATAGCCTTCTCCTGTTGGCTCTGGGGACAGATCACACAGTTCCTCCACAGCAGGTTCCTCCCTGTCTGTGCACTGCTGGAGGTAGCGGATGTTATCAGTCCCTGTGCATCCCTAAATCCACTCTCATGAGAAAACAATTGTCACAAGTTCAGGTGACATGTGGTCCCCTGGGTTGGCTAAACAAATTGGGCTCATGTCTTTGAAGTCCTTAGTTCTAGCAAGAGTCTGATCCTGCAGGCTGAGTGCTTAGATGGACAAATTCTGAGTTCTCTGGAGCATGTGCCTAATAAAAACTAGATAATGAAAGATGATCCAACTGAGCTGAGATCTCAAAGTATGTCAAGGCCCTGACGTCACTCCAGGCAGTCCCCAGGAGAAGACACTATGTGCTCCCCTTCAGCTCCTTGCTGTGCCCTAAAAAAAATGATTGAGGCCACCAAATGTGTTTCTATTTCCACCTCACTGATAAAGAGCTCCCCAAATGTTTGATACCTATGTAGTTACTAACACTTCTGAAGTTACTGGTCTGCGTTCTCTTAGTGGCAGCCACTCAAATGCTCCTTAATGGTGGGATGGGAGATTTAAAATTCAGACACTTGGAGAGTCTCATAGACTGCCTAATGTTTTTATCAGTGTGCACATCAGTCCTTCATTTGGAATCGCATAGCCTTAAACCTATGATTCACTTTAGAAAAAGGATGAAAATAAGAAGCTGCTAAAGTACTAGGCTATGTTTTTTAAAACTTGCTACCCCAAGAGGTACAGCAGGTTGAGCTTTTGCTATTTCCAGGTCTACTTCTGACTTGCTGTTTAATCTTAGGGAAATTATTTTTTGCCTCAGTGCCTGAATGTACCCATCTAAATAATGGGAATTTTTATCTAATGCTACCCAAAGTTAGATATATCTTATTTGTATATTTTATAATATCTTCGCCACATTTTCTTTGTGGACGAAAGAAACTGAGTTTCAGAGTTTTGGTCCAAAGTTTTCTCACAGTGCTCCAACAAGCTGCTGTGGAAAATAAAAGGATCCTTTTTTTCTGTTGTTCTGCTTTTTCCACACCATCACTTCTTGAATAAGAACACATTGAACTCCATGTTCACTCTTACACAGCTTTGGATATAGCTGGGACCTCTAGGTCATCTGCATCAATCCAACTCCAGCACAGCAAGGCTCATTTTGTTAGATAAGTTACGTCTCACCCAGCTCACTCCACTTAGGTCATTACCTGAGACTTACAGCTCAGCTTGTAATTATCCTGTAACATTTGTTCAAGAGGTTAAATATTTCCTGCAGAACAGAATTCCTAGAAAAAATGCTTTTCCTGCTGTTTTCCATTTAACCTTACCTCCAGCAATATTGATTGACGTTCTTCTAAGTACATTAAGTGGCAAACAGAACCATCAGTGCATGTTTGTGCAATAAACCAAGTAGCTGCATGGTAACATCTTTGTTTCTCCATCCTTATGTTTTCCTTCACACCCTATTTCATGTCTGGCTATTTAACATGTAAAATCTCTGAGGCAGGTTGGTTATGTACCGCTGTCTGCTGTGAAGCATCACTTTTGGCATTTTAACATAACCTCTTCCATTCTCTTCCTGCTACCTCTGCCCACTCCTCTGAGTTCTTTTTCAGCAGCAAAGGGAATACCAAGTAACTCCTGCCATTATCCAGAAGTACAGTAATCCAATTCTTTAAACCTTTTTCACTTTCTATATTTTGTTTCACAGTTGATGTCAGCTTATCTGAAGAGACCTCTTGACCTGAAGTCCAGCAGAAATTGCCAACATATGTTCAGATTGTTTTCATACAAACAAAGAAGAAATGGAATGGTACAAGATTGGAAACTGCATTTATTTTAATTTGTGGGTGAGTCTGAGAAAGTATCAAGGTGGAGTTATTTGTTTGTGGGTCTGGGTGTTTTTTGATGTATTACTGCTGGTAATTGTCTACTCAAATATTGGTTATTTCACCTTTGTAATGGTTTTAAATTAAGATCTGATAGTAAAGCGTGAAGAGCAAGGGAAAAGAAAAAGGTCTTCTACATGTAACCCGAATCAGGCCACAGGTTTTGACTAGCAGAAAGACTATATTTAAGGATCCTCACTGGAAGACAAACAGCAACATCCAAAATACTATGGTTTTGTTTTCCGTTTCCACTTAATGATTAGCAGGAAGGTGTTAGAGAGTTTCCCCTTGATGATAGCAAGATCTTACACAGAGGTTCCCAAAGCAGAGGTGAGACCTTGGAACAAGTTAAGGCAATAGTGACTGAGGCTGTAAGGATAAGAAACATCATTTTGCATGATCTCGATGTGTTTGAGGCCAAACAAATTTAGCATTATGAGGGCAAGGTCTGTGAAGTGCTGATCTATTAATTGCTGAACAGTGAAGTGGGATTTAGGAGACCCAAAGATAAAGACTGAGACCCTCTCTATGATTTCGCGTGACCTGTTCATCTACCCTATGGTTCAATTTCACCATTAAAAAATAAATGTAGTAATTTCCTTCATGCTGTGGTTGGCCAGATGCCACAGTAATAGAGCACAGAGCAATATGGGGTTTCCTCATGGTCTGTAGTCAATAGTAAAATGCATCTTGCAGCTCCACAATGAAGTTGATAATATCCTCTGAGACATGGAAAGAACTACAGTTTCTGCAACAGAGTGGCACAGCCTGGCATGAGGAGAAGAAATCCTTCTTCTGATTTATTAGACAGGATTCAGAAGAGCCCATCTTCTCCAGCACAGCACCAAACACAAAGGATGTTGCCTGAACTCTCCCTGTTTGCCAGGATACCAGTGTCAAACACAGCCCTCCTTAAAAACCTCCCCTTGTACTGTACTTGTACTCCCCTTGTATTTGCAAGAGAAGAGGGTCACAGTGTTGAAAACAGCTATTACAGTAGGTAGTGCATTTCATTTCACTCATGTTGGCAATGGTCAGTCCCTTTAACTGTGGGTTTAGCTACCATTTGGCTTTAACTGGATAGGTAGAGCTGCAGCACTGATAGAGTGGCAGGTTTTCACTTTTACATGGAGGTGTCTGACATTCCAGCATACACAATATATGTTTTCTCTGCTAAAAATAAGGAGAGTGATCTGATTGTCCAGTGTGATTGTTTGGCTGGAGGAGAAGGAGGAGGAGAGAAGCAAGAGGGTGGATCAATGACACATGGCTGCTGAGATCTTCTCCCTTGTGTGGAATGTTTATGGCTACAGCACAGGCTATTCTGGAACCCCTTATATGGTTTGGATTTATTTTTAATAACCTTTCTCTTTGTGGTTTTTTTTTTAATATTCCATTACCTTACTGTTAAACTTTTTTTTTGGGAAAGAAACAATCCCTACTTCATCCCAGACCTGTCTTGCTCTGCTTTGCTAAGTGTGTCCCAAGAATATTTTAAGACAGGTAAGAAATCTGTGATATAAAAGCAGAAAACCCACCCCCAGCTTCAAAACCCTTCACTGTCCCACAGCCATAAAGACACAAGGACATCTTTGGAATGGGGAGCAAAGAACATGGAAATTAATTGAGAGAGGAAAGTAACCAGATGTAGCAGTAGGACTTCTTTACTCTGCCATTATCTTCTTCACACAGTTCCCTTGTGTTTAAGCTTTCTTTTCTGCATCTTGCCTTTGAGCAGATACAGGAGAAAGAAAGAAAAGGAACAGAAAGCTATCAGGTATTGCAATCAAAAGGCCTTCCTGATGAAAGTTATTTGTTGCTAAGGTCAGGTGCTGTCCTGATGGTTTGAAAGATAACAGGCCACAGATCTGTTGCCTTTACCTGCCCAAGAACAACCAGCTCTCCGAGAGATGACTCACTTGCTGCGACTGCTCAGCTTTTCTTCGCACTGCTCTGACTGCCAGCAAAGGTGCTAACTTGTGCTGGCTGTGCTGATGAGAATTGTTACCCACAGAGGCAAGGGATGCAACCTGCCAGAGTCCTTGCACAGAGCACATGGGGCAGCCAGAAAATGGTAACAATTATGTTTGTGATCCTGCTAAGCTGGGTGCAAGTGAGGGCTGTAGGGCAGATCGAAGTCTTCCTGCACTGACTAATGGAGATTTTTTTATCTGTACCATGAATGTGGAGAGAAGATAGCCCTGAAACATGGAGGATTTTAAAGCTGAGTGCCAGCTGCTGTTTGGAGACCACGTTCTCATACAGCAAAGCCATAAAGAAAATACTAGGCTTGTTAGGGTCTTTTCTAACCCTGAAGACATTTCTCCGTGGCACAGGATCTTACAGTCATGCTCAAAGAGCTTGGGAGCAGGGGTGTTCCTACAGAATAGAGGGAGAGATTCACTGCAGAAAGGGTACGGAATAAAAGTCAGGTACAGATGAATAAAGTAGGAAAAACAGCTAACAAAAAAGAGGCAGTTGTCATCAGCCTTTGGAATGTTAGTCATGTAGGGCCTCTGTACATGTCCAGTTTTGAGTCAGTTTGTTACAGCTTATTTGCTTTGTATTGTTCTGATTGGAGATTCTTTAGTGACACCCTCACATTTTTGAGAGCTTGGGCTTCAGCCTTTTCATTCCGTCGCTTTATTATTTTCTCACTCCTCCTCACCACAGCAGATTCTGACATGTGAACTTGGCCTTCATATGGTTTAGGAGCTCTGAAATTGCCAAGTATTTATAAAAATAGCATGCACTTCTCTAAAATATTAATCTGAAGAGTCCAAAGTTCAACACACCATTCATTCTCACATCCTTTCTAGGAAATAACTTGCTGAAGAGATAAACTACCTAAAGCATAAAGAGATGAAGAAGCTGCCCAAAGTCTAACATCACCAGATATGCTTGCTATATTTCTGGTCTGTCATCATTCATCTGTAATCTGACCTACTGTTGTAATTTTAATGACTTGTTTTTTTTATCAGGCGTCTTTCCACATCCTGATTTCCAAATTGTCATTTTTGGGAGTGAACTTATTTACTTATTGCTGCTTTTGAAAACATCAGAGGGCTAAAAACAAGCATGTTTCTGTTTCGCAAAGCATTTTCCTCAGCTTGGCTTGTATTATTTTCCTCGAGTTTCCTTGGACTAAAAAATAGATGCCATAAAGGGGTAAAATGACACCAAATGAATTTTAAAGAATCAGAAGATGAGGTGCTACGTCAAAATGCATATAAACCTGAAACATTTTCCATTTGTTTTACTGAACTCCTGACAATCATGTGATAGGAGAGTTTAATTTGTAAAAGTTTAGGTATCCTTAGAAGACTTTACACCAACAACTAACGGTAGAGAGAAGTTCAAAGATTAAATAACAGTAGTAGCTCATGGGAAAGAGAAAAAAAAAAGAATGTTTATGTTTATACATCATATTTGAAAGGAAAATATTCTAGAAGAAAACAAACTTGGCTTCTAGCAAATTAACTGAAGATATTGCAGAGTCAGGTTAGAGGTTTCTGGCAGAAATTTCACTTGTGGAACTTGCAGAAATGAGCAGAGGACTCAGTCCAGCAGAAAGCATGAAAGTATCCTAGACTAATAATATAACTGCATCTACTTGAGCTGAAGTCAGACCTGGATGAATCATTGCCATCATGCAAAGAAGAAATGGAATGGGTACAAAACTAATTAGCCCTGCTCTGAGGTCTGAACACCTGCCAAACATGCAGTCCTCCTCCATCACTCAGTACTGAATTTTCTCATGCTTCTGCATATGTGATACCAAATATTTGCCAGAGGAAACTAATGCTGTTGCCAAAAGGAAATAAAACTTGTGTGTTTATATAATTTCAGCTTTTTCCTTCACTTCTTTGCTAGTAGATCCTCCCTGGCCCATGCACATATAGAGGAGAGCTTGCACACATTCCATTCCTGTTTCCCCCGGGTGTATGGAATAGCTTTTTAGTTTTAATCTCCAACCTACCACGGAATTGTCGGTGAAGGCATCAGGGTTATTCTCATAAATGAACTTCTCCACTCTCAGCTGACGTAACTTGAACATCTTGGATCCTTTGTTAGTGAGGAGAGAAAGCTCTTCTAGCATCACATCTCTGGGGATGCTGATCTTCTTCCCCAAGTTCAGCTTGGACACCTCTTGTGGCATGTCTACAAGACATATGCAATGGGACACTTTAGGAAGTGCTCTGGTCCACATCTCTTGTCTATTGCTTCCTAGCATCAGTAGTGACTTCAGAGCACCCAAATTCTCTTCTAAATTAAGTTTTTAGGAAATGAGCTATGCACCAAGGTTTTACATTGATGCCAGTTTGGATATAGATGTTTGGGATTTACTCTGAATTGCAAGCAAGGCAAATCTGCAGCGATGAATTGCATAGGGGTGGAGCTAGATGGATGTGTCCCACAGTCTGAAGCATCTCAGTCAGTGCAGCAGGATTCCTTAGTGCTGCCTCAAAATGCACCACTGCCTCGTGTGGTTACTGCATTACACTCACCTCTTTCCCCTGCAATTAAATGAGTGGCAGTCAGCTCTTCAGATTGGGCTGACATATAATAAATAAAGAGAACTCTGGTGTGCTTTGATTTAAACATTGTCCTGGAGCCATGGCAAGATTCAATGTTTTTATGTCTTTTTGTTTGTTTGTTTTAGGGAGAATTTTTAAAGGGGGAAGTGGTTGAAATTCTCTTCAAGTCTTAATATGCTGGTTATTCAATAAGTACTTTTCCATTTAATTTGGTACCACCAATTCACCATCAAAGCAATGGATTTAAACACTTTCAGTATAAAAATCTTGCAGAAATGCAGTTAAAGTTTTTCATTTGGAAACATGCAACTTTTCCTTGGCTTTGTTTTTTGTTTTGTGGTTTGTTGTTTTTTTTTGTATTAACTAAGGTTAAGACCACTTCTCATTGACAACAGAGAATGAATCTCCATCCTTAAA